TTTTTATAATAAAAAAGCTGTTGGAGAAAAATTTATTTTATCATTTTACGTATTTTCATAGAAAGCTCTAAACCCATAGGCATCATGCAGCACCTGTGGGAATGGGAGGCATTCAAGTATGATTCAAGGAAGGAGTGTACATTCAATTCCTTGGATCAAAAGCCCTTGGCTTCCAGAAATCTCCCTTGAGGGGTCCAAGAGGTTTAGTGCTTCCCCATGAACATAATCAATAAGGATGCCCTAAACTTATCCCAGTTTCTCACATGACCTGTCAACATTTCTTCGAGTCCAATTCCGGTGCTCTTATGTATGACTGTTTCCAAGGCCTTTGTTTCTAATACCATGGTAAAGGCAGGGAGGTCCACTTGGCCTCACCCTTCAACTCCCACTGAAAGTGGATAGAGAACAAGGCCTTTACCCCTAACATAAGTTAGAAAACTGTTTAACTTCAAAAAGGTTCTTCCAACTTGTTTTCTACTGTTCTAGTGTACATCTATTTTGGATACAGTAAGTATATTATACAGTGGTACCTCGGCATATGTCCGCTTTGGAATAAGTCCAACTTGCTATATGTCCTGTTTGGACGTGAAAATTTTTTCCTGGTATATGACCTTGTTTGGAATACAACTTGCATGGGTCAAAATAAGTCATGACACTGCGAGCTACCCTTGTTCATCTTTCTCTCGAGACAAAGCCACGCCCATTGTTTCCATTCAGTGAACAACCCTCGCTGAAACTCTCTCTGAATTTTCACATGATTTTGTGTTTTTTGACACCGAGCTCAATGTAGCAGAAATGTTCAATTTTTGCCAATGTTCAAGAGTAAATAAATGACATCACGCGTCTAATACACATTAGTTGGTGGGTCTAATACACGTTCACAAATGTGCTGATACTATTTACACAATTATTACAACACTGTGTACAGTAAAGCTTCCAGTTTTTGATGTGAATAAAAATTCATTATGTGGCCCGGTGGTCTGGTGGCTAAAGCTCCCGCTTCACACACTGAGGGCCCGGAATCGATTCCCGGCGGGTGGAAATTCCGACATGTTTCCTTACACCTATTGTCCTGTTCACCTAGCAGCAAATAGGTACCCGGGTGTTAGTCGACTGGTGTGGGTCGCATCCTGGGGGACAAGATTAAGGACCCCAATGGAAATAAGTTAGACAGTCCTCGATGACGCACTGACTTTCTTGGGTTATCCTGGGTGGCTAACCCTCCGGGGTTAAAAATCTGAACGAAATCGTATCTTATCTTAATAAAACATCAAAATGGAATTCACTTGTAAAGCTTGAAAACGTAACTAATGAACAGAGGAAATGTTAGTTTAGTGCCAGGAATGATTGCATTGTTTATTTTGGATCCTATTTTGAAATTGAAATATATTTTGAACTTTGTGTTAAATTGGCTAAATTACCAATTTCCAATCACTTTATTGGATAGTTGAAACAGTTTGACTGGTTGATTTCTTGTGCTTCAATCGATAAAATAGAAGTATACTGTGAAATAGCTAAGAATAGTGTCGATTGGAATAAATGAAATTGACCTAAAATGGAGTCAGAAGCCGCCAAAATTGCTGATGACTTGAAATTATCGCTGACACAACAAAATTCTGAGAGCATAATTTCGTCATTTTCATCATATTTCATACTTTTTGTTATATTACCTTCAGAACAAAGATTCTCGATATCCATTTCATTTTATTTTAAAATTCTTGGACCCTGGCTGTCACTCCTGAGATTTGGCCTTTGGCCCCCAAAGGGGTTTTACATTAAATATACATTTGTTTCCCAGAGAAGGAGATGAAACAAATTGTTTTCAAGAAGAAAGATAGCTAGGAAAAGCAGCACAATAGCAGGGAAATTAGGGAGCATTCCAATTGTGGCCACTTGACTCAAACAGACCATATGCATAAGCAAAGTTTTGAATGAATGCCACCTACTTAATTTTCCAAAACTTCCAAAACGGGCACTAAAATATGAGACATAACGACTATCCCAACTGCTCCCTGGTAATTTACGTTGCATGCATTTACGATAATAAAATGTGGCTTGGAAACCTTTGTTGAAGTAACGGTGGAAGATAGTGATGCCTTGAAAAATACACCACAAGGTCTGGGCCAGTTTCATTTTACTGGCCTGAAAGACACGACATTTGTTGGGCTACTGGGCAACACCTTATTTCCGTGCTTCCCAGTTTCACCAGTTACATTCCACCTGAATGACTCTATCAATTTTTTAGAAAAATATTTGCAACAATGCCACCACTTTAAAGCAATGCAATGAAGAAATTAAGTAGTCAGAACTCAGCTTGGAACCACTGAAGATAGCTGAGCTGTAGACTTTGGCACTAGACTAAGTAGCCCTGTTATTGGCTTGGGAATCCAGATTTATTCCCAGCAAGGCTTGGAACTCAACAAATAAACAAAACTGAATGCTTGGGACCCTGAACAAAGAAACGCACATTGGCTGAGATTGCATGGTTATCAGGCGTGACATCTAATAGTGATGGGATATGCTGGTTCAAAATTGGAATGAACTCTAGCCCAGTGGACAATGCACCATGGACCAACCGTAAATGAAATACATCTATCTTTTCTCCAAAGGTGCCATGAAAAAATAATCACATCACACATCCTGCATAAAAAGTAACTATACTATACTGCAGGCATTTTTGCGAGCATTGAGGCTACAGTAAACCGTTGAATTTTGACCCTTCTATTTTTTAGGCCAATATATGGTGGCAATGAAAAACTGAAGCAACTTTTAAGATGGATAAAAAACATGCCTCTTTTCTAATGGGAGCAGTGTTGAAAATGTATCAAGATGACACTTTTTTGCAAAACCAACCACATGAAAAATACCCTGTTTTCTACCATTTTGAAAAAACTGTGAAAATTTAAATTTAAAAGGATGAAACATTTTCCCAACTCAAACATATTAGTGTGTAACCGAAGGTATATTCATAAAAATAAACGAACTATTCACGGGGATATCTATATTATTACATAGCCAGAGAAGGCTAAACGTTTGACAATTTTGACTCGTTGATATTTTTATGATCCACCTGAGGCTCAATCAGCATGTCAGTTTAGAAAATATAAATTCCACTGTAAGCTTCCATTGGATAAACTTAAGATGTTGTGTAAGACAGCACAGTTTCATTTATTTGGAAGAAAAGAGAAAAACATCATTTTGATTCAAAATTGCCGAGATTTTTGTAGGGTTATGGTACATGGTCGTTGGCATGGTGTCAACTTAGGTTTTATTTCAGCAAACCATTTCATAGAGGGATCTAAAACTTTACCAGTCTTAGTATTTAGACCATGTAAGATTCAGCACCACAATGTTATATGATTAAAATCCATGATGGTTGATTATAATTATAATCAAAAAGAAGCGCTAAGGCCACAAGGGCAAAACACCCATGATGGTGAGGTGATTGGGACTTTCTAAAAATCAGACCACCTGACATGGAATGAACCCAGATATGTTTATTTTCATAAAGTAGGATTTATTTTTCCTGTCAAACCCCGAGGGTTTTATTAATTACAGTAATTGCCACTCTAGGTTAGCACAATGTTGAGAAGTTTATGAGGGAGTCTGCTCTAGGGGTGTTTTATTATAATAATTTTGCCAATTATCACCAAAATGTTTACCCCTAAGAGTCCACTAACTCTGTAACAACCATCTCTGAAGAACAATGAATAATTAAGACTTCCTTTAATCATATAAGAAAGAGCATTTTCACTAGCCAATACATCAAAAATTTTTTCGACCCTACAAAGAAATTCGTTTGATGCTGGCTCTACGAGTAGCTCTAGATTCTCTATACAGAAACTGAACTTCCCTTTCCCTTGAATCAAACCTGATAGCCACTCATTATAAAGGTACTGTCAACCCATACTCCCCTCCCGATGTTATAGAAAAATTACATAATCTTTCAAAAAGCTTAATCTACAATTAATATTTATTACAAAATTTTTGGCCCATAACTATAAAAATGGAAGCATTGCTGTTACGCCTTGTTAAGAACAGAGTCAAAACATGAAAATGAGTGTGCTGTAAAGCCTTGAGATAAGCTGCCACAGCAACAACAGGGATGAAGGCAGAATCCTTCTGCATCCTTTGGAACACTCCTTATGAGACCTCGTGCCTGCAAGAGAAGATTACCATAACATCACACATTTTTCAACTACACTGAGAAAAAGAAACAGTAAATCCTAATATAACAAGATTTCATTAAATTCAAACAAAAAAAAAACTAGTAGGACAATCATTGAAAATATCAAGAAAAACACGACGCTACAATTCCAGATGGAGTACAAGGAGACAGTCACTGGTAGGCAAAAAAGAAGATGAAAGTTTAAAACTGAAGGCCAGAGATATGTAAGATATAAGTAAATCTAACTAAGGTAAAGAAAGCTGGGCTAGAGAAAGTACAGGTAAAAAGGAGGTGTTTAGAGGAGGATACGAGGAGTAGATTTCACCCTAAACTGTCCAAACGTAGATCAACAGTTCACGGGCGTAGCACTTGAATATTTTGGGAAGAAAACAATTTTTTTTTTTGTTTAAAATGAAGAGCGCATTTTTCCCGCATCCGGCATCCCTGAATTATGTCGATACTGCGCCCACTGAGAGCAAAGATTCATTCTCTCATGTCCTAGGCAACTCAGGCTCTCGTGCCAAGGTTTAAAGCATGTAAAATAAAACGATGATCTACAATCGGAGCACTACGCACGTGAACGATCTCTTACGTTTCACAGTTTAAGAGTTAAGAATGATGTATTGTGTGTGCAACAAAATTTTATGGTAATACAGGGGGGGGGGTGCTGAGGAAGAGGTGACCATGTGCAATGATGAATAAAGAGGTAGTAAGGGGTTAAAAAAAAGTTGGCATAAGAAAGATTTTTACAAACCAAATCATCATAAGCATGTTGGATCTGAATGGCCTAGTGGTATAGGCATGTAAAGATCCACAGTTTCCCTGTACCAAACATCAAAATGCAGTATTGGATTGACAGATTGTGAATACACCTTTTAAAGCTGGTATCTGAAGGACTGGGAAGTAAATCAGGAAAAAGGAAGGCCAATGGTACAGTGACCCTGGCCTGAGAAAAAGATAGATATATACTATGTCCAAGCTCCTACTGATAAAATTAGACCCACATGTGCAACTATTGGGTAAATCTTTATTGAGGAAAACGTTTTTTCAACCACAGTGGCTATCATAGTCCATACAAAGAGAAACCATGAAGAACAATGAGGAGAGTGAGGTAATTCAGTCCCTCAACCAGAGTCGATGTGGTGGGTCAGTCCATCAATCCTTGAATTGAATATGGCATATGTGCGGAGAAGCCAGCTTATAAACCGTAGGCAGGAGAGGTGCAGCAGTTAGGTGGTGCCACATTTGCCCAAATTGGAATAAGAAAAAGTTTTAGGTCGTGCCCAAGGGGTTAGGCAAGCAAAGAATTCCCCAAGTATTAAGAATCAAAGAAGTTGCAGTGTCTGACAAAGATTTAGATGAATGGTTCAGAGAACCAACACAATGATAATTAAGACCGTGTCTAATATATCAACGTGTCTGTTCTCTGAACCATTCATCTACAATCTTGTCAGACACTGCAACTTCATGGAAACTTAATACTTGGGAATCTTTGCTTGCCTAACCCCTTTGGCATCGACCCTACTTCCACATTGGGCAAATGTTGGCACCACCAACAACAGCTGCACTCTCCTTCCTACGGTTTTATAAGCTGCTTCGCCTCACAGTATGCCATAATCCTATCAAGATTGATTGGACTGACCACATCGACCTCAAGTGATGGACTGATTACCTCACTCCCTCCTGTTTCTTCAAGATTCTCCCTTTGTATGTACTGATAAGCCACGTGGTGAAAACGTTTCTCAATAAAGAAACCCAATAGTAGCACATGTGTCCCACTAATTTTAACAGTAGGACATTGACAGTAGTATATATCTATCTTTCTCAGGCCAGGTCACTGTAGCCATTGGCCATCATTTCCTGAATTACTTTTCCATTCCTTCAGATACTACAGCTTCAAAAAGTGATTCACATTGTCATCAATACTGCATTTGATGTTTTGGTATCAGGGAAACTGTGGTTGTTTACAATGCCTCTCCGCACAGCCTTTCATATCCACATGCATATGATTTGGTTGTAAAAATCCTTTATCGTATGCCAAACCATTTTTTTTCACCCCTTTACAACCCTCTTTAATTCATCATTGCACCAATGACAACCTCTTCCCTCAGCACCCCCTCCCCTTTATACCCATAAATTTCTGTTGCACACACAATACATCATTCTTAACTCTTAACTGTCGAAACGTAGAGCTACGTTCACGTTGCCGTAGTGCTCCGATTGTAATCTACGTTTTATTTCTACATGCTTTAAACCTTGGCGCACGATAAGCTGATATTGCCAGACATGCTGAGAAAGAAACTTTGCACTCAGTGTGCGTCAGTATGACAAAATTCAGGGATGCCGGGAAAAATGCCTCTTCTTTTAAACAAAAAACAAAATGTTTTCTTCCCATAATATTCAGAGTGCTACGCACGTGAACGTTATCTACGTTTGGACAGTTAAGGGTTAAACTACTCGTACCTCCTCTAACCCCTCCTTATTACCTGTACTTTCTCTAGCCCACCTTTCTTACCTTAGTTATTTACTTATATCTTACCATATCTCTGCCTTCAGTTTATAAACTTTCACTTCTTTTTTGCCTACCAGTGGACAGTCTCCTTGTACTCCATCTGGAATTGTAGGTGTTTTTTTACTTTGATATTTTCAATGTTTGTCCTACTAGTTTTTTTCTTTTGTTTGAATTTAATGAAATCTGTTAATTAGGATTTACTGTATCTTTTCTCAGTGTAGTGAAAAATGTGTGATGTTAATGGTAATCTCTCTTTGCAGGCACGAGGTCTCATAAAGAGTGTTCCAAAGGATGCAAGGATCTGCCTTGTTCCCTGTGTTGCTGTGGCAGCTTATCTCAAGGCTTTACAGCACACTCATTTTCATGTTTTTGACTCTGTTCTTAACAGGCGTAACAGCATGCTTCCATTTTTATTGTTATGGGCAAAATTTTGTAATAAATATTAATTGTAGATAAGCTTATTGAAAGATTATGAATTTATTATAACATTCGTGGAGGGAGTATGGGTTATACAGTACCTTATAATGAGAGGCAATCAGGTTTGATTCAAGGAAAGGGAGTTCCAGTTTCTGTATAGAGATCTAGAGCTACTAGAGCAGCATCAAAGAACTTTCTTTGAGGGGGAAAAATTTTTGATGTATTGGCTAGTGAAAATGCTCTTCTTATGAAGATTAAAGGAAGTCTTAATTATTCATTGTTCTTCAGAGATGGTGTTACAGAGTTAGTGGACCTCTAGGGGGTAAACATATTGGCGATAATTAGAAAAATTTTATAATAAAAAAACCCCTAGAGCCGACTCTTCAAAACCTCAAACAATGCTGCTAACCGGGTCCCAAACTTAATTAATAAAACCCGGGTTTACAGGAAAAAAAACCTATTTTATGAAAAAAAAATTTCTGGGTCTTTCCCAAATGTGGGGTCTGTTTTTTTAAAAAGCCCCCCCACCTCACCTCATGGATTTTAAGAAATTTGGTGTGCGAATCTTGCATGTCTCAAACTAAGACTGGTAAATTTTTAGATCCCTCAATGAAAGGTTGCTGAAAAAAAACCCCCTATGTTTGACACCATGCCCACAGTACCAAAACCCTACAAAATCTCGGCAATTTTTGAACAAAAAAATTTTCTTTTTTTTCCAAAAAAAAATGAAACTTTGCTGTCTTACACAATTTCTTAAGCTTAATCCAAGGAATTTTCGTGGACTTTATATTTTTTTTAAACTGACACTGATTGAGCCTAAAATGGTCAAAAATACAGGTCAAAAAATGCAAAGTCTAGCCTTCTCGGCTCATGTAATAAAAAGATATCCCCCTAAATTCGTTTTTTTATGACATAACCTTGGTTACACATATATGTTTTTTACTTGGGAAAAAAGTTTTTATTCCTTTTTAAAATTTTAAATTTTTTACTTTTTTTTCAAAAAAGTAGAAAACAGGTATTTTTTAGGTGGTTTTGCAAAAAAGGTCATCTTGAAAAAATTTTTTAAACTGCATCCATTGAAAGGCATTTTTTTAAAACCCCTAAAAAGTTGCTTCATTTTTTCATTGCACCCATATAATCCCTAAAAAAAAAGGGGGAAAAAATTAACGGGTTTACTGTGCCTCAATGCTTGCAAAACCCGCAGTTAGTTAATTTTTACCCGGTTGTGTGATGGATTTTTTTTCAGACTATGAAAAAAAGCTGAAGTTTTTCATTACGTTGGCCTGGTCCCATTTCTGCTGGTTCATTCAATTTGAACGCAATCCCATCATATAGAGTCACGCCAGAAAACCCATGCAATTCAGCCACTGGTGGTTTCTTTGTTCAGTGTCCCAAGCATTCTTATTTTATAATAAAAAAGAAGCGCTAAGCCAAAAGGGGTTACAGCGCTGCAGGGTGGGAAGGGAAGAAAGGGGAATTGGATGGCCGGAGGGGGGGGGGGTGATCAGCGGGGTTCAGAAAACAGGGGGGGCGGGGGTAGTGGGGGTAGAGGGTACAAGGGTTCAGTAAAAAGGGGCTGAAAGTACAGAATTTGTGAAGAAAGTCAGTCGTTTAAAAAAGCAATAAGGAGCCCGGAGAAAGGTGGGTCCATCAGCGAGAGGGAAAGGGTTAAAGAGAGAGCAGGGGGCAAAGACGACGACGAGGTAAATTCTGCGTGCTCTTTGTAAAGGGGCCATCCAAACAGAAGGGCGATTTTAAATTTGAGTTGGAATTTTCTCAAGAGGGAAAAGAAGAGCCCCCAGAGTATTTGAGTAAAACGGTATCCAAAAACGAAAAAGGGAAGAGATCCCCAAAAACCCCCTTAAAGAGGGCCCGTAAACCTATACTGGGTTTTTAAATAGACTGAAGTTGTTTGCGGCATAGTAGAAAAAACGTTGTTCCCAACGGGTGTGAAGGGGGGAAGATATTACAGAAAAATAGTCCGTACGGGAATCCCTCTGAAAAAAAACTGGTAGGTTGTATGTGACGCGCAGCGTGTCTGCCTGTTCATTCCCCTGACGTA